AAACTGACCAGTTGGTTGAAGATTTTATCTAGACTAAGGAAACCAGGAATTGTCACTCAAAAATATAAAAAAATCAAATCGGCAAGTTTAAATTTATGCTAATCAGCCTCAACAGTGTCGATAGATGGGGGGATTTGGGGAGTTTACTCTAGTATAGGGTAGCAAAATTCAGCTGAACTAGCTCTAGTATAGACTAAGGGTTCCAGGGTCCCAGCGGCACATCCCCACCCAGAAATTCCCAAAGTACCTCCCCCGGGGTAAACAGCTACGCAACACGAAAAGAACTTGCTCGTAAACAGTTAGGCGAAAGGAAATTGCCCGGAAAACCGTGACCGAAAACGGGCGCGGGCTAGTTACGATAGGTTCTGTTTTTACTTCTGATCGGACGAGAAAGACGCGCGAGTTTTTTAAGCCAATCGTATAGCGTAGTTGAGGCAAAACGAATATTACTTTTCCACATTCAAATGAACACCGTGCAAAATATGAAGAGAGATAAACAGAAAACGTGTCAAGCACAAACAACCTCAGGTCTTGCAATGCAAATATTGGGAGGCACATTGTTTGAGTTTATTGAACAGTTATCCCAGTAAAAGCAGAAATCCTTAGTATTGCAGAACGTCAAAACAAAAAGAGAACAAACAAGCTAAAAGGTCTATCATTTTGCATCCGTAATAACAACTACTATGCAAAATAAACGACTGATTCTTTTACTATTCTAAAATTTTGGATCATAATCTTACAAAAGGTTACTAAAACGTTTTTTCCGTCCTACTTACTTAATTGATGTCATTTTTTAAAATTTCTTTAAGTTCCCAAAACCCCAAATATGAGTCGCATAAGGCGCTTTTCGCTTGATTGCCGGCGGTAAAGTGGTCGTTCAAAGTTTTCACAGTCTACAATTTAGTTAGCTAGTGTCTTCCATAATATTAGTAAATAATAACATGAGCGGTTTAATTCGTTACGTATTTGAATTATTTATTTATAAACTTTTAGGCCAATACTCTAGCCTTAGCTTAACACCATCTCACGTGAATATTATAATGCCATCGGCGATTATTCAGTTTTCACTCGGGAGCGTGGTTACAATTACGGATGAGCAGAATATTGTTTGCAGTGAGCAAAACACATTTAGACGGTACTACGCATGAGCAGACCATTATTTGTAGGCAGTTATTTGCAGGGCACGTGGTGGGCTCTCGGCCAATGAAACGGAAGGAAAAAATGCATCGAATGATAATCTGAGTTGTTTACCAGTTTGTTATAGTATGAACACGAAAAAGCTAAAAACTCCTTAATGCATGGATGCCTCAAAGTAAAACGAAACCTTTAAACTAGCAAGCCACATCGACAAAAATCGGACGAATTTTGACAACAAAAACGTCGATATATTTAAGTCAAGCTCTCCCCAAATCCGTGTTTAGTACTTACTACAATTCACTAACATGAGAGCATCTCCACAACACGGCAATTTCAGCCGGTTTATAAACGTCAGTTGCACACTTACTCACAGGTAACCTTGTCATTAAAAAAAAAAAAGCTATGGTCTTCTATGTGATCATTTGTAGTTTTCATACTCCAGTGATTGTTCAGCGACAAAAGATTTTCTTCAATAAAGTCATGACTGGTGCACGTATAGCAGGAAGGCGCCAACAGTAAAGAAACGGATTGACGGCAGAGTTCAGAAACACTATTGTGTTCGCTACTTTCCACACTATCGGGTTGTCGAGGCTGGTGGCTCCCGTCATCCTCAGCACCCAAGCGATAGAAAAAGGAACGTAACACAGGAGCAAAAAATAATAGACGATGAACGTATTCACGGCGGTTTTCTTAAAGCGTGCCATGTTGAATTCGTTTGTCGTTTGGACTGCCTGTTCTTGTGCCCGGATCTCGTTTCTGTGTCGACGAACTATTCTGTAGATAATTACATGGATAACCGTGGATGTTCCAAGGAACACCATCATCACAGTGGCCACGACGTACAAAAATGCGCTAAAATGCCAAAGAATTAGACTCGAACAAAAAGTGCTTGCTAACCAGCACAATGTGATGAGGAAAAGCACACGAGGAAGGGTTACAATACTGGGATACCTCAGGGGATATTGAATCGCTATGTATCTGTCCACACTGATGAGTGTTACAAGACCAAATGAAACACCACAAACTAAAAAACCCAGTGCTAAAAACGCTGTTTCCAGCGTACAGTCGCCTCCTGATGGAAGTCCGTGAATTTTTAACAACTCCACAGCAACGAACCAGGGCTGGACGACCAAACCAATGGCTAGATCGGACACGGCGAGACCGCAGAGGAACACGATCGAAGGATAACGTAGCGAGGGAGTTCTCCATACCGCAGATACAACCAAACTATTCGCTAAGATTGACACTATCACAAGAATGGTGTTCAACCCGGAGTTCAGTATGATGATCGATAGCGGAACGCTTTCGACTTCAAACAAGGTGAAATCCTTACATAATTTCGTGTCTTGTGTCATGTTTTTGCCCTCTGAGCAATTTACCGAGCAGTTTTCTGTCATACTGCAAGGGGCTGAAAAAAAAGGTTGCTAATTTGATCTTGTCCGGCTGTACAGGGAATTCCAATAACAAGTAGCTGTATCAGCGTCTCTGATGATCGTTTTCTAAACAAATGGAACAGTTTAACTTAGCCAACTGTCGACCACTGATCACAAATGAACCTCTATTATGATTTTCGTGTCACACCTGTGTACATCATGTTGATATTCATTGGACAATCTTGTCATTCAGCTGCTAACAGGAAAATATTACACTTTCTTCTGCCAGAATTCTCAATTACCAATCCAGTGCTAATGCCCGCAGGTAAAATTTTAACAGAAATCATTTAACAAAATAAAATACGGAAAAAAGTACGCATAATTATTTTAATGGTTTGGTTGACTGCGAAATAAAGATCCTCCGACCACCATCAAAGTAGTATTGATTCAATTGTAGCACAACTAGGAAATGAAAGTCTCGACGATTTTGCAGAGTGTGAAAAATTCTGTTTAGAAGTCTTATTATAGCAGTTGTAGTTTTTCGCTCAACACGTTAAGCTTGTTGTTTGACAAAGAGTGCATTTTATTTAAATACGCAAGGGCTGATTGACGGGCCTCTTTTAACAGGCAGTTATCGAGTTTCCATGGAAATCTGTGCGTATGAAAGTATTATAATCATCAGGTTTTTACAGGCTTTTTGATAGTCAGTTATTGATACTTGGACTTAAAAATTCAAAATTCAAAATTCAAAAATGTTAAATACCACTGAGAGACAGAAAATGATGCGTTGCCTAACTTGTGTTGCAATTAGCTGGACATCTTATTTTTTT